TATATATATATATATATATATATACACATCACCTTAATATATATAAAATCCTGATTGATACACCACTCTGAAAAAACTGACCACAGGTTCTGGAGATGATTAAGCTGTTTTTAATGACACAAGGAAGATAATGTCTAGCTTTTATGTAATATCCTACAAACTAAATATTCTCAAGCAAAACTAAGGCCTTGCACAAAAATGGAGGAACAAAGTTCCAATAAGTGAACTATTACTCTGCAGACCATCTTTCATGCCTGAAGACCAGATGCATAGCCTCCAACCCAGGTCACTTAACCCAAACCTTTGGTTGGAACATGAAGATTGCATTGCCTTGGTTCTAATAACCTCACCACTCAATCTAGAATGAAGCATCTCATTTAAGATTTAACATGAGAAAACCTACCAGTAACTCATTCATGGTTCAGATTTGGACCTTTAATTTCACTGGTCCAGTATTTTGAATATATTTTTAAAGTAAAAATTTCCTACAATTAAATTTGATCTTAGAGAATCAGGTTTAAGGTAGAATAAAAATTAGCTAAATAGATAGAGAAAAGGCAAAAAAAACACCCTCTCTGGGGTGCACACTTAATCGCTTCATTATTCTTTGTTGCTGAAACAAATTCACTGAACTAAAGACAAACAGAAATGCACAGAAAAAAAATCATGTAATAAAAATTACATTAACATTTCCATGGCATTTGATAAGCTAAAATTTAGCATGCAGTTATTCATTTCTTTGAAAATCCTGCTGATTTTCTTCAAAATCTACAGGTAATTCATTCAATGTAATGGACTTTTTCCTCTCCTCAGGGGGGGAAAAATTCACCTTTTCTATCACCACCTGTCAAAAAATTCAGAATCACCAGCTATGACAAAAGTTGTTGCTAATTTCAGGAAGGGTAAGGGTTAGAGTGGTTGTCAGAACTCTCAACATCAGCTCATTGTATAAATCAGAAGCTAGACATTTAGGCTTCTGGGAAATGGGGCCATTAGCTTTAGAATTAAACAAGCTACTCCTAGGGAATCAACTGCTATTAACTTTCATTAGCTAACATTTGCACTCTCAGTGGAGAGAGGGAGAAAAAAGCAGGAACGGGTGTGAGGAATTGACAGAGGCTCAGTATTATGCTTTGGTTACATAAGGCATTTATTTCTTGGCTTACCTTGGGCTACAAAGAATAGCAATAAAATATGTTGTTTGCCTATCTCAATAAATAAAATTACATGGTGGATAGAAAACTACGATATTCTCGCTGATGAATAGGGTTCTTTTTGGCAAGTCTCCATGTTTTCTTTGTTCTTTTTCTGCCTGTCTCATCCACATGTCAAGTCAGAAATTTATTCTCTGTTATCTCCTCTCAATTGTGCTCTTCTCTTTTTCCTTCTCCACTGTTACATGTTGAAAATCATGGAAGAGCTACAGCTCTGCCCCCACTGGTTTGACTGACCACAGGCCCCAAAAGAAAGAAAGAATAAATTAGAGAACCCAGGACATTTAGACCAGGTCACTAAGGTGGACAGTGTGACATTTTTGCTGGCTTTTTATCAAATACACTTTACAGACCCTTTCCTGTTCCGACGTCCTGTGCCTATTCAGGGTTCTGGGCATAAGAAGTCAGAGAGATGGCTGACCTTTGCTTGGGAAAGCAGTAAGAAATATTGTACTGTTCTTTCCCCAGGTCATTTTGTGTATGTGGCGGGAGGGAAGGGGACTCGTAACAAGGCCTATCCGCCATCACTAGCTGTGCTCATCCTCCCTCAAGTGTCCTCCCCTCCCCTTTGTGGAGGGTAAACTTGGTATGAAGATGCTAGTGGATGCATAAGGCCTGGCTCTTGCCGAGTAATTCTCATGTAGGATGGGGGGGGGCGGGGGGGGCAGGTGTCCAGAAACTACAGGGAATGAGGGAGAGTGTATTGGGCATGCGTTGTTTGAAAAGGGTTATACAATGCTATTATTATGCATATTTTTATTTGGAAAATGAAACGTACCAATTGTCTTAATAATATGAACTATTAAGAGAAAGGCTTCAAAAATCTTCTGAGGTTATATAGATATATGGACAATAGACTCTATGATTCCAAACGGGAGAAAAGGCTAGCGTCTCAATGTTAACAGACAGGTATGTCAAATTTTTGTGTTTATCAGAAGGGAGCAAGACTTTATAAAGCTTGATAAGTACCATTCTAGTCTTTAGCTTTCAAAATGTACAAAGTAGTAACTACAAGGAAGGAAGGGGTCCCACAAATGGGGGGGGGGTCAAGGTTTCAGCACTTGGGTCCATCTCTTCCCTCAGCTCCCTGCAGGATGGGCCCCTCTGTGGGGTTTGAAATAGCCCTTTGCCCCGCCCATTTTCTCATCCACTCTGGACTCTCAGATGCAAGTGCAGTGACTCAAAAACATTCTTCCCGTTAGCCATCCCTGGTCCAGATAAAGGAAGGCTGTGATGCAAAGAATACCTTCACAAGCGGACACCTCGGTGCCGTCCTCTTCGCGGGTGGAGAGCAAGTGGCGGAATTTTGGTTTCTGTTCCGATCCTGTCTGCTTCCCTTTCTCAGATGCTCCTGAACGGAAACTCTGGGACCGGGACACAGAAATTTCAAATTGTTTGATCACCTCCTCGTCAGAGTCAGAAGATGTGCATGTTTCTTCATCGTCTCCAAAGCTGTTCACTGGGAGCAAACAAAAGCCATGAGTCTCGGGCAGCGCCCGCAAGAATAGAGAGAGAGAGAACGAGAGAAACAGAAGAACACGGGCGATTAGTCTGATCAAGCAGCCCCAAACTGGAGAGAAAGAAGTTAAAGCATGTTTGAAACACAAATTTGAGGCCAAATGAAGAAAACAGGCAGAGAAGGCTCCTGAGGGTAATTAGAAATAGATGGCTAAAACCCAGGAAAAACCGCTGGGACTGCCCTAATCAACACAACGAGCCCTGTCATTGACCCGGGCAGCCCTGCTGATTTGTTACATTGCCGACACCTGCTCATAACTGGGACGAGGACCGTTATCCATGCACATGCCTTATGTGCAGCTCTAGTCAACAATGACGGAAAATGTGCTCTTCGCCTCGTCTGAATTATTAAAACTCACAGAGCCAAGCCCCACCTCAGAGAAGAGATATTTGCAACTAAGACTTTCCAAAAGCGTCCTGGTTTTGAAGAGACATCCATTGTGTGCGTGCGTGTGTGTGTGTGTGTGTGTGTGTGTGATCTAGTTTATACTAGAAATGTTCCGATGCATTTCTTAACACCAACAGCCTAACCCAAACACCATCTGAATTATTCAGACCACCTTCCCAGCATCCCCCACACCTCACCCAGCACACTGGTCCCCTTTCAGCTTCTCTAGCATGCCCAGATTGTGCCTGCCTTCAAGTCCTTTGCTTTTATTGTTCCTTTGACTTAAAAGGCTCTCCCACCCCCACCCCCCGCCCCAGTGTTTACATGGCTGGCTCCTCGCCATTCAGGTGTCAGCTGCACTGTCACTTAACCTAAACACTTCCCTTATCACCGGACCTTAAGCAGTTCTCTTCATAGTAATTGTCATCTCTAGTTCTCTCTTCTCTCCCACAACTTGCATGAAAATAAAGACATCACCTGTTTTATCAACTGATGTGTGCCCATTATGTAAAGCAATGCCTGTTGCACATTAAGTACTTAATAAGCACTTGTTAAATGTTGAGTAAATTGGTGAATACCCAGTATTTTCTCCCAGCCTGAGAGCCTCCCACACATACTTGCACACGGTTCCCTGTGCCCAGAGTACTCTTCAGTCCCCATCTAGACTAGCCAAGAATCTAGCTCTTCCAGAAAGCCCTTCCTTGACCCCTTAAATCAGGTTCAGGGCTCCTTCTACATGCTGCAGAAGCTCACTGTCCTGTCCCATCAGGGCTCACTTCCGTGTTGTGACACAATTCCCTATTTAAATGCCAACCATTCCACCTCACCTGTACACTCCGCAAAGGAACACAACAGACCACCTACCTTTGCTTCCCTCCAGTTTCTACCTCTCTGCCAGGCACATGGCAAACTACTCTGTAAATATTTGCTGAATGTAAACTGGAAACAATAACTAATGGGGAATGATTGTTTTAAAGACTTCCTCCTGCCATCCAAAAGTCACGATGATTCTGGGGAAGAATATGGTTGTTAATTCACAGATGGGTCCTGAAGATCACTTCTAAATCAGAGGGTAAGAAGAAATTTTAAGTGAGAGAAAAATGCTTTAAACACCAGCCTGGTGAAAAACATTTATTCTCTGGCTTATGTAAGAGTTGATATTTCTGAGGTCATTTCGAAGACTAGGAATAATAACAATTTTTGAATACTTTTGATGTGCCGGGAGCTGTCCTAAATGACTTACACATATTATCTCATTTAATCCACACATTATTGATCCTATATTCCAAGTAAGAAAATTGAGGCAGAGGGCCGGCTGAGTGGTGCATTGGTTAAGAGCTGGCTTGGGACGCCAGAGGGTCCCAGTTCAGATCCCACATATGACGGTCAGTGACACTGCCCTCCACAGCTAAGATGCTGAACAACAGCTCAACCTGGAGCTGGGCTGCCCTGAGTCACCAGCGACGGGTAGGCTGCAGCCCCTGCTGCAGTGGGTTGCCATGGGCTACCGTGTTTAGCCAGCAGCCACTGTGAGCGGCCATCCAGAAGCTGGCGACTGATCTGCCTTGCCCGGGAAGAGTGCAATGATGGTGCCAACTTGGGCCAGTGAAGCAACGTCCTCCACAACTAGACTGAAGAACAAAAGGACAGCAACTTTTCTGTTCCCCTTCCCCTAATTCTCCAGTGCTGTTCCTATCCCCCAATTCCTCCAATAAAAATCTTTAAAAAAAAAAAAAGAAAATTGAGGCAGAGAAATGTCTACAGCTGGCTGATGATCACATTGTCAATAAGAGAGAGACTCAAGACTCGAGTCAAGGCAGCCTGTCTCTAGAGGCCACTTCTAATGATGTTCGGGAGCGAGACAGAGGTGGTGGAATCACTCTTATTCTATATACAGTAACACCTTAGATTGCGAGTAACTTGGTCTGCAAGTGTTCCACAAGATGAGCAAACATTTCTAATACATTTTAACGTGGTAAACAAACGATGTCTTGCGATACAGGTAGTTTGTTTCCAGAACGAATTATGCTCGCAAACCAAGGTATTACTGTACTTACACTGACTAGCTGAGTCCCTGAGCTCACGTTCCTTAATCTCTCTGGCCATGTTCCATCATTTGTGGATCATTTCTAACACCTGGTTCATTTCCCAAATCTTGCCTAGATCTAAATTCTCTGACTCTGAAGTACCTGCCCGCAGGCATTAAAATGCAATCTGTTTCTCTCTTTTATGGAGCAGAGAATCCAAGAACCAAGAGCACAGCTTTGTCAGCTCGCTAAATTCTACTGGCTGTGACCAGCACCATGGGAAGACCTGAAAAGCTAAGTGTCAGAGCGACTAGATTTCCCATTAATAACACTCCAATACTGTCCCACAGAAAAGCATCCCAACGGGAAGCCTGCTCATGTGTCAGCACGGTGGGCATAGCAGTCTGGAGCAGGAGATCCATCACATATGGAAGAGATCCAGAGTGCTACTGGAACAAAATTAAACTTGTTCACATTTAGAGTACAGGACCAGCTGAGCACCTGGGGGGGACGTCAGGGGCATACACACACAGGAGGAGTGGTTGGATTAGACATCTGTCTGGAGCTCTTTCCAACTCTGGGGTTCCATGCCATTTTCATTGCTAGGCCATTTTTTCTTTTATTTTAAGTAGTCATAAATCATCAACTTCAAATTAAGTGAGTTAGTTCATGGATATTTCTCTATGTATAAAATCAGTAATTAGAATTTATTAAGTTACCCATATATGGCCCCTGATGTTTTTTGGCACTGAGTCACTGATCACCCACAGAGCTGATTCTCTTCATTTAATAGTCATAATAGTAATTATAACATTTCCCATTTACTAAACATATATTATATGCCCAGCACCTTTCTTGGCACTTTGCATATATTATCCTATTTAATCATCACAGCAATTCCACAAAGCAGAGATGGCTAGTATTCCCATTGTAGAGATGGAAACAGGCACAGAGAAGTTAAGTAACTTGCCCTAGGCAACAAAGTTAGCAAAGTAACGAAGCTGGAACTTAAACATGTAACCTATGTGCTTGGCCACCGCTCACATTATCAGATATCTTTGCATCAGGACACTAGAGTCATATCTAGCTTATTTCTCAGAGTGAGGTGAGAGGGAACTCAGCTGCCCCTACCCTGACATCTGCCAGGAGCTTGCTGCCTTTGTGTGAAGAACAGTGGGAAGAACAGAGTCAGTCCATGGGGCAGTGAATGGGCACAGGCAGGCTGCAGTGTGAGGGGCTATCGCTCCTGATGGGATTATAGATACAACCACCATGCTATTCTAAGCATCACCCCCCAAGGATCTCAGGGAATCCTCCACCTAAAAAACAAAATCTGTCATCTCCTGGAAACCACTAAGCAGAAGCAGAGGTTGATGGCGGCACTATCACAATAATAGAAGCAATCCACATACAGTATTTATCATGTGCCAAGCATTGTTCTGGGACTTTACATATGTTAACTTCTTTACGCTTCATAACAGTCCAAGGAAATAGGTACTTTATTATCCCCATTGTATAAATGGGGAAACTGAAACACAGTGAGATGAGCAATTTGCCACAGTCATAACAGTTAATAAATAGTGGAACCAATATTCAAACCCAGGCTGTCTTGCTCCACAGTCAATGTTATTAATGACCACATTATGCTCCCTCTACCATCTGCTGCCTCAATGAAAAAAATTCTTAAATCCTGGTCAAAGTCTACACAATTCTGTTTTATCACAAGAAGACAAAAATCACACAAGTTGCCGGGAAGAATTTTCATCATAAGCATCTATGTATTCCCTCATTTTCACAGAGACACCAAACCCAAAGAGAAAGTGTTTTGCTCATGGTTCTACCATGCCAGAACCAAACGCAGGTTTCCAGTGTTCCAAGTCAATGGTTTTGCCACATGATTTTTCAAACGCTTTCATCAATGGGTTACTTTTTCTAATTCAAATCTTGACTCTTATCTTTTTGAAAGATCCCAGCTACTCGCCTAGCTACTCGCCTTGTAACGAGTCTATGTCAATAAAGAAATAGCTGATCTGGATTTCATTAAACTTCAGTCTTTGCAAATCACAAATTTTCATCTAAGTGTGGCACTTATTTCAGAGCTAGAAGAGTACTTTCTGAAACACCATTATCAAATACCAAGTTCAAACTCCTTTCAAGCTAAATATCTGGGAAATAGCGTAGTGGGAATTTGTATTAAAATCTTCAGCCCTTCATCTAATCAGCTAGCTAAAATAACAGAAAAAAAAAGTTGCATAATTACCATGGATGTGGATACATCTTGAAGTTGAGATTGTTCATTTCACTCAATTACAGAATACAGATGTCTTAGATACCATCTGAATATCCACCACCAAAGAGAAGTCAGACACTTCTGCAACCTTTGTGATGCAGGGTCATCCAGTTTTATCCCTTTGTTTACACACTATTGAGGTGCTACTGTGGGCTTCTGGCACTGACAGGAAGGCCATGACTTTGACAGACAGAAAGAGCTATCTATAGATCCATCAATATCTAGTTCCTACTTCA